CGTTGGCGACAAGTCATGTTGCATGCGCGGCTCCCGTAGCAGGCACCCTGGCGATAACCAGAGGGGAGGCTGTGGGCACTGCCCTTGCGTGGCCGCCTGTCGCAACCGGCAACAAGAAAGGGGGACCGGCGCGTGTGCAACCTTGAAAGCGACCGGCGCGTGTGCCGGAGAGATCCCCATCCTATTCTTTTCTTCTTCTGGATGGACTCTTCCGTGTGAAACACGGCCGAAAAAGGGTCTTGCACTCATGTCACTGTTTCCTTTGCATGTACGAGAAACACGTTGGTGATGAGTCAGTGTTTCATGTTGCACGCACCAGGTGAGCTTTGACTTGGCGGTGTCGATGCAGCGAGGCGTCTTTTCGCGCACCACACAACGGTGTTTTCTTTCGTCAGCCTGTCGGCCGATTTACATCGAGGTGCTTGTGGGTTGGCAATTGCGCCACGTTGCCATCTTCTCTTCTATCCTACCGGGGGCAACCGCGGCCTTCGTTTTGGAGCAGTTCACCGAGGACCACGAGGAGGGCTTTGGCTCAGAACCTCCCTGGGCTTGGAAATCCGGTTTTGGGTTGGGCGGCTTGAACAGAGCACCCACCTCCATACCTGAGGCCAGGAAGAGTGAGAGGTTTACCCCACACCAGGCCGCCAACGCCAAGCTCTGTGAAGTGGTCAAGTTTTGGCATGGGCGCAACGGCTCCTCCTCTCTTTGATGATGCTGAGTGTGGTTCTCGAAAACATTGCCAACCTCATGTGCCTGGTCAGGGGCAGGAGCGACAACCCTGATCTATCCCGGATGGCTACATAAATCCAGTGCCAGCTATTTGCGTTGCGCGCTTCAAAGTGCATCCCCTCAAAATCCAATTGGGCTGACGCGATCAGCCGCTTGGGGGCCAACGACACGTGGTACCGTCTCAGCCACTTTCCCTCCTGCTCTATTGAGGCTTCCCTATCGCGCGGTCATAACTTTTGCTGAATTCCTGTGAGTGCCTTGAGATGTTCCAAAGTGCCGTGGGAGGTACTGCAGCAGGATAACTGCAGGGTTTTCTGAGCACGCTTTGGGGGGAAGAACCCGAAGAGCCCAGCACATCGGCTGGAATGGCTGGGCCGCAGCGCGGAGCAACCTGCTGTGGATGCCAATGCAAATCCCACAGGCATGCGGGCTACGACACATGCTTCGGTTGAGAGTGGCAAAATTTGTGGAGCTGTCAGTTTTAATTCTCCTTGCAATGTAGATAAATAGATAGACAGATAAATCAGTGTATATATTTGTGTTTGACGTGCTTGGTGCTGCAGGGTTTGTCTCTGGCCAGGTTTAAACCCCAAAGCAAGTGCTGATCTATTCCGTTATTGCCATTGCTTCTTTGGATCTGTTATTCGGGTGGCGCGCCCTTTCGGTTTCAGGGTGCTTTCCCTTTCGTGACACACCCAGAAGAAGTTTTGCGTGCGCCCATTTCGGAGGACCCGTTTGACAGGATGTTGAGATCCGGGAGGAGGCCATCCGCGCCCTGGGGAAGGTGGCTGAAGGAGGCCTTGGCGTCCGGCGAGCGCGCCGAAATCACCCAACTGTTGTTCAATTGGAAACCAAGCATGGTAGGGGTTGGTTCCGTAGTTCGGGACACATTGCAAATCATTGCAATGTTCAGAAGCAAGTTGTCCGACTGCTTTGTATCACTCACATTTTACAGGGCGCCAAGTTTGTTTTTCCTGCTGGGTCGCGAAAGTGTTTCCGGTGGGTCGGTCGCTTGGTCGCAAGCTCGGTCGGTCGCTTGGTTGGTCGGTCGGTCGTCAGTGGGCGGGTGTTTTTGGGTTTTCGCGTGTTTTTTTTGCATGTTTGGCGGTTGTTGCGGCTTTGGCTTCTGCACCAAGCCTAAGCCAAGCCAATCCGAAACCAACCCTAACCAAACCAGCGCTCAAGCACCCCTGAGCCAGCTAACGCCTGCCAAAACCACCGCAAAAAACCGACCCCAAACCGGCGCCAAGGAAACACAGCACACTAAACCAGCACTAAACTATCCCGAAGCCACCCTACATAGATCCCGCCCATTAAACCAGCACAAAGGAAGGAACCTTAAACCCACCCGTAAACAAACTCTGAAACAAGCCTAAACCCACCCTAAACCAATCCGAAACCCAGCCTGAACCAACCCTACACCCACCCTCGACTAGCTCAAAACCTTAAAATGAACTTCAAACCAACCACAAGCTTTGGACCAGCGCTAAAACATCCCTAAACCAGCCTAAACCTACCCTACCACCCTAATCCAGCCCCAACGACCCTAAACCAATCCGAAGCCCTCGCTACCCAGCCAAACGCCACAACTAAATCTACCCAACCCAATCCACAACGTTGCTTAGGGTCGATGAGGATAATCATGATGCGCATTGTCTGCATTCAAGAAAGTGCTTTGCAGTTGCCTTGGAAGAAGATAGAGCCCGCACAACGTCAATGTTCCTTGCTAATTCGGTGGCCACTTTTATTCTCGCAGTTGCTTCACGAGTTTTTCCTAATGCAGAAGACTGTGATTGCTTTGAGGTTCGCTTTAATAGAAGGCTCACTTTTCCCAAAATCAAAGTAGAGAACAACAACTGGCCAGCAAACAAATGCCAAATGAAAGCCTTAGCCAACAATGTTGATCCTGGAACTTATTTTGTGCGTTCCGCATGTCTGCAAAACATGGCCCTCACGCCCTGAGACGACCACGGGGCACTGAACTGCATCATCCGAGGGCTGAGAGATGAGTCCATTTACGTGCGGCGAGCTGCTTTGGAGGTGATGCCCTGACCAACGGAAAAGTCTCACGTCTTGTCCAAGCGTCTGGTGGCACCAATGGATGTGCTTGTTCCTCTCAAACTGGCAAGTTGCATAGAGGCATGATATGACACAATAAGTTTCTCACATGCTTATCTTTTGGTTTCCCACATCCCAGACATATCGAAACATATGGTCACATGGTTTCGTGCACCCCCTACAACATGTTTTTTTTAGACCATCCTTGAAAAGGTACCTAGTTGTCACACAACCAAATTGAACGGATGATGCTCACACCTTCCCCCTTGAGGCTAGTTGGGCACACAAGCACCACCATTGCATTTCAGTCACATGGGGAGCCAACAAAAGTCTGCTTAGCTTTCAGCACTTTGGTTGACAGCTTGCTTTCTCATCGCCTCAAAAGAAGGCTGAGGCAGTCAAGGTTCTGAGGGCGGGGCAACATTGAGACCTTCCGCTTCATTAGTCGCCGGATGAGAGACACGGAGAGGAGTTGTTCAGAGGAGTGGAACTGAGAGCACTGGATGGAGAGGAATGGGTAGGACCGGAGACGACCGGAGACGACCAGAAGATTATGTTTGTGCACCCCAGAATGACCTTTTGAAGGCTGGCTTTTTAGGTGATCTTGTCAGTGCTCTCAAGCATTGTTTCCAAGTCTAATTCAGTAGTCAGTTGCGTTTGTTTCACGCAGACTAGTTATCCGCTGGTCCATATTGATCCTTGACGAGGATGAACACGTATAGCATCTGGTGACTCTGTGTTTTTCAACAGAATCATCATGTGTCCTTAGTGAGCTCTTTGAATCAACTACTCATTGCTTGTTTGATTGTTTCAACTTGCCCAGCGTACGGAAGCAAATATGTGTCTTTGATCGATTTCAATTTGGGCAAGCAATGGATGAGCCCAGCGTTTGGACTCGGGCAGCACCTCCAGCATGCGGTCGTGCAAAGTTCTTGGCCACGTGCCTAGATCTGTGCACGTTAACGCTCAGAGAGCAACGACTCGATCAATTGGAATTGGGTAAATGGCCTTTAGTATCTCTGAGTACGAACTGCCGTTGCCTTCAGCAAGTTGTGCTCATGCCAGCAACCGAGATCATTTGTTTCGTACCAAAAGGCAATGACAAGATGAAATCGCCGGACAAATTCAAGTGGAACTAAGTCGGCACAACCGATTTTAGCAGGAGCTTGCATATGATCGTGGCAACGTGCAGGGCACCAAGTGCCAATGGACTGCAAAGGAAGCCATGTGACCATGAGGAATCGGTTTTGTTACACTCGGCCATTTGTTGGATTGAGGTTGCGAGTGGTACAATGCCATCATGTTGCGGTTCGTGATCAATAATGGTTCCTCGCACTGGAAAGCGGGCAAGTGGATTGCCTTGGTCCCGCTTTGCAATCGGGATGCTGAACACTGGCACCCACGGAACAGGTGGCCTTCAAGCTGCCAATCCTCTCGGGCTAAAAGGGTTTCAAACTTGGAGCTTTTGCTTATCCAAGACACCCGCATCTGACGCGTGCTTCCTGTTCTGAGCAGTCCAGATTCCGAAATAATGAGCTTCCATGAAGCTTGAACCCATCAAGAAAAGTGCGAAATGCCTATGGCCGCAATGGGAAACAAGTGGAAAGGTTTTTTTTTTGCGGCATTGCACAACTCCAGCAACTTCGAAGCATGCGCAGCAGCCGCTTGCAGGAGCGCTTTGCATTCCTATTTCCCTTGTTGAACGATCATCGATTCGCAGGTTGCTATTTCAGGATGGTTTGGCTGTTCCTGGCGTGCGCAGCGGAGGTGTCAACATTCTGGGATTGCGCTGATGCTGGGTGCTGTTTTGCTGTCTCGTGACTCGTCTTGGTCCATCCGATTGGTTAACCTAAGCATTGAGACTGCTGCAAGGATCTATCTTTTGACCACTCGGTCCCCACCAGTTCACGCAATGCGTTTCCTTTCGTAAAGAGATGTATCAGAAGCGCTTGAGCAGAGTCAGGTGCACTTGGGACTATGATCGTTCAGCGACCGTTGTGCACATGTGCACGCCGGCACTGTACTGCCAGGTTCATCCAGGCCCTATCCAACAGCAGCACGTGTTCATTGTTGAGGCATGTTGAGGCACTGTCCGTTTGAGGGCTATTGCCTATAACGAGCTGCTTTTGCTGTGGAGTTTCAGATGAAGGCTTCGCTTTGGAGCCTTGTTGTCTTTGAGGGCGGTCGGCCATGAGCTCTCAACATACTGCCAGGACAAGAATGGGAACGTTCATTGGAGCTGGCTGCTGAGATGTGCCCTGGCTGTTCCATCCAAAAACATGGATCAATCTGGTGGCCGTTAGCATGGAGTCCTGAGCACTTGTGGTATCCAGTTGACAGCTTGCAGCCGCAAGAAGCCAAGAAGTGTTGGACACTGTCGTATTGTGGTGAGCTGGTGCGGGAGAGAACGGCAGAGCAGGTGGGACCTCAACTTAATGCAAAGCATCAGCCCATGTCGAGCCAATGTGTTTGACCAGTGTTCGGTAGTTTGACAAATGTCAAGCGGAGAAAGCAACATTCCACTGGTCGTGGTATTGAAGATCTCGTAGCCGACTGCCGACTTTGCCAGGCACCGTGCCAATTTGGGCGCCGACTGCTACACCCAAGACGCAACACTCATGGCCAATTGCTGAGAGCGAAAGAAGCGAGCTTGTCTGATCCATGAAACATACCATGTCAGCATGTCATTCTTGAACAGCTGTAGCCATACCAGCATAGACCCCAGATTGCAAGTACTGCCTTTCTTTGCCCGTTTCTGGGTACAAAGAATTTGCCATATGTTGGCACTTCGAAGCGCGACAGTGTCTGCCAAGCAAACGCTGCCACGAAATGCAGCCAGCATGATTCCAAGCCTTGTGCGCACACCATACACTGCTGATTCTTGCGCGAAGCTACAGAAGTAACGTCTGCTACCACCCTCAAACTACCTTGAAAATGGGGGGAAGTTCCTCTTTCATGGGCAGCTTGCATAAATGCTGATGTAGCTCAAGAGGGGTCCGCAGCACATTGAAGTGGGTACCGGGCAGCAACGTTTCGCCAGATGCAACGAGTCAAGGCTGCCACACGAGGGCAAAGATGGACTCTGGCGCTGCAACTGCCAGCGCCTCAGAGACAAAGTTTAGGGTGAACTGCAGTGAGCGCAGTGAGCGCAAGCCCTCAAACTTGGGCAAGGCTTTCGGGTTTTCGAGCCCTCTCACCTGGCTCAGGCAGGTCCAGCCTTTGATGCGCTTCACATAACCCATCCCGCGGGTGGTTTAACCATGGCACACATGGCCGTTCCAGCAGTATAACAAGCGATTCCAGTGGAGCTTCCTGGGGTCGCAAATCGAGCAACATCCAAGTTGTGTTGCTGTTGCCTGGCGCATGTGCGCAGTGAATCAAACAACTGGGACAGGTTCCAGAGCATTTACTTGAAGCTTGGTCGTGCAATCGAGTGCTCAGCCCATTCGCGGAAAAAAACAGCTTGACTTTGGCGGATCCTCATGAAACCAAAAGGAAAGGTCAGAAGGTTTTGCCGCGGCACCAGGACAGCGCTTTCATTGGATGCGACTGACCAGTTTGGGCTGTTTTTTTTCCCCTGCAAAGACTTCATCTTCAACATGGGGATTGAGTCAGGGAATCTCCACTACCTGATGTTACAGCGTTTGTTGAACGCCAGCTTTCTGACCAATTTGATTGTGCATAGTGATTCTGCCAGATTGTCATTTAAAGGCGTTCCGAGATGGCGGGAAATCGCACAATTCTAGCATAGCCGGCAGTTGCTCCAAACTGCTCCAATTCAGCAAAACGTCACAGTACTGCAGCAGCGTGTGTTCGAATGACCATGTGCTGTGTGCTCCAAGAAAAGCAACAAGCGCAACTCACCTAAGCGCTGTGGTGCATTTCGAGGGTCCAGAACGTTTTGTGTTGGGCGTGCCAGCTCAGGTCATCATTCGCTAGCCTTACTAGCCTTGTGAGCTACAACGCTGCGACCTCAAGCGCAGTGTCGAAGCCTTTTCGGGGGTTGGCAATCTTGACAGATGCAATCTGGCCATGTACGGCGCGCATTTTCCCAGTTTTGGGTATGCACAGTTTTCAACTGTGCACAAACTGGTTTGCGTCAGGCTGCCCGTGGCAGTGTTGGTGAATTGGTTCCTTTGAGCCCTGCAATTTCCTGTTTTCCATCTTCGGCTTGTTGGAAGCGCCCTCAATCAAAGCGAAGATCCGACACGGTCGTTGGTCGCTTCCTGAAGGCACATTCGGAATCACACAATCTTCCAGAGAATGCTTGCGTTGCGCAAGTGCAACGATTCCATTGTTGCTTGAAGGCACATGTCACTTGATGCTCTGTATGAAAGATCATGGACGAAACATGAGGACGCGGATCACCAAAGCATTATGTACACATTACAGGATCCCCAGCTATGTAGGGCTGCGGCAGGGAGCCAGTTGCAAATGGCTTGCTTGCCCAAGCCGTCCCAAGGCTGCGTTGAATGCGCTCTCCAAGTCTTTGAAGTGGCTGGGCAGCACTTTACCATCGAACACCGCTTCATGTTTCAAGCGAGATGTCCCTGCCTGGGTCACTGTTGTTCTTTCCGCTTCGCACGTTCGATGACTTGAGAAGTTGCTACGCCCCATCCTGTCGAGAGTTGTAAATTTGAAGCCCTTTTGCGCAAACGATCAACCTGGAGTGACCTTCAGCTCAGTGAGCCTGAAGCGCTACTTGCCGTGAATGCGTGTGTGTGTGTGGCATGATTGATTACGTATTTCCAGAGGGGCCAGGGTGGCAAATAGCGACGCAACAGAGCCAGCGAGAGGTTAGATTTGCGGGGCAACTCATTGAGCTGAGGTGGTCAAACACACTCGCCTTGTCCAGCCCTTGGCTTGCCTCGAGTTGTAACTCACGGCTAAGTGCAGGGAGACCCGGAGGCCTGGAGGTGTGTTGAATCTGATGCTCTCAGAACTTCCGCGCTCAGTCGTGAGACAAACACTATTGGAAATCTGAAACGGATTCTCGTGTCGGAGCTTGAGACGCCGGGCGGTTTTGGACATAGAGGAAGGTTTTCACACGTTGAACTTCAAACCAATTCTGGAACTCTCAATGCAAACAGGCAAGAAAGGCAAACTATCAACCGACCCGAAATAGAAGCTGCAATCCAGGCGGTTGCTACATCCGGAATGTTACTCTATTGACTGCCTTGTAAAAGTGCTTTCAAGTCTTCACCAATCTTCCTGCAAAATCCCTTCTTCTCAAAATTTCAGGCTGGTCACAATTGACAGCATCATTGGCCGACGGTCCGCGCACCGGTTTCCCCAACAACGGAAAAAAGGGAAAATCCGCCCAAGACAACAAAACAGCACACTTGGCACGGCTCCCTAAAAACTTCTTGGCCTTCCACAATCTAACCCGGTCGAAAATCCTCGCACAAAACCGCTTCCAGTTCTGCATCTTACATTGCAAGTCTGTATAGACTGTGCTCCAAAGATGCTAGAAAGATAGTTGGAAACAAGGCGCTACACAGCCAAGACAAAAACAGGTAGTACTGCAACGCAGGAGTGATGCACCCTTCCAAACCTCTGTGCTCTCAAAACACGCTGCTTTTGGAGTTGTTTATTCTTTTGAAACTTTTGCCACCCCCCCCCCCAGCATCGCTTTGCAAGTATCTTGATATTAGAAGGCTTTCGCGCGTGAAAACTGACCCCGAGCTTGCTTTGTCTGCAGGATTCTAGAGGGAAAGGATGCAAGAGTCGCTTTCCCTGGTTGTGGGAATTCCCAGACTAGCAACATTGAAGCCACAACATGCGGGACAATTCGGACAGATGGAAGGCTGCATTTTGTGTGGCAGGTGCGGCGTGGTCAACTTTCACCTTGTTTTGAATTGCAGTAAAGCCGGCGCAGCCGGGGGGCGGAAGTTTCTAAAAGAACAACAGCGCCTATAGGACTTGTTTTTTCACAAACATCCTTACCTGAAGGAACACCCTGCGCTTCCAAGAAGAACGCCAAGCCTAAGCCCGACAACGCAACTCACGGTGTCATTTTAACATGTGGCGATTTTCGATCCCCAGCTGCGAAAAAGGACTTTGCGCACTACTTCCGTGCTCAAAAGTTGAGCTTTTCATGTCGCAGCTGCGAAAGTGCACTTCGCGTACTACTTCCGTACTTAAAAGTGACGATTTTCGAGCCCCAGCTGCGAAAGTGGGCTTCGCGTACTACTTTCGTCCGCAAAAGTTGCGCTTTTCAATCCCCAGCCGCGAAAGTGCACTTCGCGTACTGCTTTCGTGCTAGAAAGCGACGATTTTCGGGCGCCAGCTGCGAAAGTGGACTTCGCGTGCGGCGAAAGCGACGATTTTCGTCGCCAGCCGCGAAAGTGGACTTCGCGTACCACTTTTGTACGTAAAACTTGCGCTTTTCACGCCCGCCGCGAAAGTGCACTTCGCGCTACCCTTAAAAGTTGCGCTTTTCGCGAAAGCACTTCGCGCTACTTCGCGCTTTTCACGCCCGCCGCGAAAGTGCACTTCGCGTACTCGTACTTAAAAGTTGCGCTTTTCACGCCCGCCGCGAAAGTGCACTTCGCGTACTACTTTCGTACTTAAAAGTTGCGCTTTTCACGCCCGCCGCGAAAGTGCACTTCGCGTACTACTTTCGTACTTAAAAGTTGCGCTTTTCACGCCCGCCGCGAAAGTGCACTTCGCGTACTACTTTCGTACTTAAAAGTTGCGCTTTTCACGCCCGCCGCGAAAGTGCACTTCGCGTACTACTTTCGTACTTAAAAGTTGCGCTTTTCACGCCCGCCGCGAAAGTGCACTTCGCGTACTACTTTCGTACTTAAAAGTTGCGCTTTTCACGCCCGCCGCGAAAGTGCACTTCGCGTACTACTTTCGTACTTAAAAGTGATGATTTTCGAGCCCCAGCTGCGAGAGTTGACTTCGCGTACCAAAAAGGTGCGCTTTTGAAGCCCCAGCCGCGAAAGTGCCGCGCAGGTGCATTTTGTGTTCTTGTCAAGCCCCAGCCGCGAAAGTGGACTTCGCGTACTACTTCCGTACTTAAGAGTTGCGCTTTTCAATCCCCAGCCGCGAAAGTGAGCGTACTACTTTTGTGCTATAAAGTTGCGATTTTTGAGCAGAAGTGGACTTTGCGTACTACTTTCGTATTTAAAACTTGCGATTTTCAAGCCCCAGCTGCCAAGTGGACTTCGCGTACTACTTACCCCCCGAAAGTCCGCACATGGTTCACCGTTTCCGGGCTGCGCAACGTTGCGATTTTCGAGCCCTAGCTGCGAAAGTGCCAAAGCATTGCCCCTGCCAGCAAATCTGCGCCCCCGAGCGCGAAAATATTGCGCCTGCCAGTAAATCTGCGCGGTTCCGAAAGAAAGCCCCTGCCAGCAATTCTCTACCCCAGGTTGCGCAAGTACCGCGCTTGCCACAAAATTTAGACTACCTATTTATACTTATTTAGTTCTCTGTCTATCTGTCTGTCTATCTATCTATCTATCTATTTATGAACAGTCTTTCTATCACTCGAGACTGCACAAGCGTTGCCCCTGCCAGCAAATCTGGAGCCCAGAGCGCGAAGGCGCCGCGCCCTCCAGTGAATCTGCACGGCTGCGAAAGTCTTGCGCTTGCCACGAAACCTGCGCTTCAGGTTACCAAAGTGCTGCGCCTGCCACGAATTTTGAACCTCCGAAATTGGCTGCGCGAGCGTGCCGTTGTGCAACTTTCCGAGACCGCGGCGAACCCGTGGCGAACCCGTGCGCAAAGCAGAGGTGCCTGCGAACCATTTTTCTGTATTACGGAAGTTTTGTAGCTAAACTTCCTTTGGTTAGAAAGGATTGCGGTCTTTAAGCGTGGGCGTCGTCATGGCCACCCAAGAGTGCAAACTTCCATTCTGGTGGCGAGTATCTACAGCCTGAACTGTGTTGTGTGAATTGAATGCTGACCTGACCGCGCAGGCTTCATTGCATGCCAGTTGACCTGTTCAAGCGTTCCTGTGTTTACGTGCGTGCGCAGGGGAAACTTTGCATTTGTGTTGGAACAAATGCCCTAGGTCTATTGTGGTGAAGCTGCAGCCATTTCTAGCACCAGTATTTAAACGCCGTGCCGCCGACCCCTTTGTCTGTGGGATTCAGGGCAACGGGCTGTGGAAGTGAGGGTAGCCTGCCATGGCGAGCGCGGCTGGCTCTGGGCGTCTCCACGAGAGATTTTGGAAACAGATGAAAAATCTTCCCAACTCCTGCAAGGCGGACCTAGTTCTGGCTGATGTCACGTTGTGCTATCAGCAAGTGCAAGCTAGATTTGGCAAGGCCGCCACTAGTTGGCAGTGCGCGGAGGGGCCGAGGTGAAGGGTGCCCCGTGGAGTGTCAGCTGGGCTTGGCAGATCTGTGGAGCTGCCTTGCAACTTGGCGGTGGCAAGCTCCCTGCCACCTGCCCCACAGCAAAGCCTGCTGTCAAAGGATCCAGACACAAAGCCAGGAACAGCGTCCTTAGAATCTTCTCCAAGAGCTTCGTCGCAGACCACATCTTCCGCTGGGCGGAAAACCCCATTCCTCTTCATCTTCCTCCTCTTCGCCCGCATCTTCCTCTCCAGTAACCGATGGAAGAGAAGCAACTCTGAGGATGTGATGAGGAACAGCTGGTGAGGCATTTTGAAACCTGGCCTACTCTTGGCCCTGCAAACAAAGTCGTGGCCAGCTTGAACGGAAGTGCTTTCCCTTCAAGTACGCCCCGCCAACGGCACCTAAGCAGCACGCCCAGGCCAGACTGCACAAAAGCATGCCGTAGTGGGAGGAAACTGGCCCATGGAGCGGGCGGCATACAAGCCTCTACGGGCTGAGCTCAGCCATGGGGACAGCCATGCTAGTGCCCAGCGAGCCCAAACCCGGGCGCAAGAACAGCGCTTGGCTGCAAGATATGGCGTGCCTCACCGCCTGTCGGAGGAGCACCCTTTCTTTGTGAAAGCAGTGACGCTGATAGCGATTCCCGGTGAGTCTTCCTCCGCAGCGGGTGGAAAATTCGAACTGGCAGCCTTGAAAAAGCAAGAAAGCGAGCCGGCGCATGTTGGACGTGCAGGAGTACAGGCTGGCAACGCGCGCCCAAGACAGCAGCAGAGCCGAGCAGGATTGGACAGCAGACGCGCATGCTGAAGCCAACCAAGCTCACTCTTCAAGAGAGTACCCTCTCAAAATGGCTGTGGGGCTGCATCAGACGCTTGCATTGAAGCAGTACGGGGCTGAAGGTGCCAAAAAGCATCTGCGTGTGGGCTGGCGAGAAGTGGCCTTTTCCATTGGGTCAGCCCATTCCGCCGGAGACTAGCAAGCCAGACCCTTTGCCCCAAAGACGTGGGCCGCGAAAAAGGTAACGGCAAAGACCAGTTCGCAGATCGGAGCATGCTGAAGCCAACCAAGCTCATTCTTCTGGCGAGTACCCTCTGGGAGTTTCTGTGGGACTGCGTCTGGCGCCCGCACTGTCGCAGCACGGGGCTGAAGGTGCCAAAAGCATCTGCGTGCGGGCTGGCGAGAAGAGTTGGAGCCTCTGGACGAGCGCGCAGTGGCCTTTTTCCATCAGCCCATGCCGCCGGAGTCAGGTAAGCCAGGCCTTTTGTTGCACAGACGCGGGCCATGAAAAAAGTAAAGGCAAATTCCAGCTCGCGCCGGATCTTCGGGGCCCTGGACGGCAGCAGGTTTCTGTTACGGGTGCAGCCGCCCCGGGTTTTAAACGTTTTGCTTCCGCACCGAAAGGTCTTTCTGTTGCTTCCTTCTTCCGCTGGGATTAAGCTAATAGTTTGGGGGTTCCACCAGGAGCCCTCGTTTTGGAATAGGTTTCAGAAACATCCACAAAACAATCCGGCACGGCCGGCGGATTTTGCTTGGTTGGCTTGTTCTCCAGCACGCAACGCAGGCTAGCGTTTTCTCCACAAGGCGACATGTCTGACTTCATTGAAGCCAACTGGAGTCAACAGCCAATGTTTTGCTTCATGGCTTGGGTTGCCAGGAGACCAATTCACACCCTCGTCAGGAAGGCCGATATTCCTTGCCAAACGCTCAAGTCAATGCATTTTGGCGGCAAGGGCTCTTTAGCAAGCCTGCCCTACTCTAGTCAGGGAGCTGCATGTTTGCGCGCGCTTGATTGATGAGGCTGATGTTTGCTGAAGCCACACGAATGGTGCTGGACTACCAGGCATGGGAAGCCGGGAGACGGTCGTTTTTGTTGTGTCAGGTTGACTAGCCAAGTGCTTTTTTGATTATATTATTGCCAAGATTATTGTCGATTGAAAAAAGCGGAAGGAGAAGACCGAAGTAAGAGAAGGAAAGACAGCGGCCAACAAAGAGTACGCGCCCTCCTAGCTCTTGTTAACACGTTAAGCCACTAAGACTTTAAGATTGCAAGCCATTCAGATTTGCAGAGTTTATTCCAGTAGGGTTTTTGTGTTTTCAGCAATCAATATTTTGATACTTGCTCCATTCAGATTTTAGCGCGTTAAGCCACGAAGGTTTAAGTGTTCAGCCAGGACAATTGTCAGATTTTAAGCCAGCGCAACTTCCAGCCATTAAGATTCCTATCAAATGACGCCGCTAAAAGTTTAACTTTACATGCTGCATTTGTATACATGACCAGCCGCTTACATTTGCGAATGTAACGTTGCTTTGTGCAAACGCATTTTGATCAAGTGGCCCTACATTTGGTATTTTTCTCCATATTACATCATATTTTAACAAAGCATGTCATAGAATTACACAACAAGGGGCTAAATTTCAAATTTCAGTTTTTTGTCATGTAGCGGCCCAGTCTACATTCGTTAGTGGGGCTAATCCCTTCTTCCTAATAGTCAAGGTCCCCGAAAGTTTTTTCCAAAACCGCATGGGTGGGAATACGAAATTTACGATAAGCCAATTATATACTAATACCAAACCAGTGGTGTTCCTTTGCGACCCCAACCCGAACCGTATTCGGGGACCCCGTTTTCTTTTCCATTTACATTCCTGACTCGGAAACAGCTGTTTCATGAATTGGTTTAAGTCCGGAAAGGGCTCAAGTCAACAATTCATCCCAAAGGATCGAAAAAACGAACTGGGGCCACCCCATGGTAAAAATAATTCCCGGCAAGATAAATTAGTGTCAGGGGCATTTTGTTAACTATTGGGGGAGAAACTAATTACGACCAGACAAACACGTCCAGCCCGGAAAACGCATGATCTTTAAAGAACCTGCTGGTAAGGCGCAGCGTCCCTCCAATCAGCTGCTGACTTCTGCTATTGAGCAGTGTGTTGCGCCGAAGCAAGGACTGCAAGGAGTCAAGCCACACAACCGACGATGCGAAAACCCCGAGAACGTGGAACGTGCGCGGACCCACGAATTTGCAGAATTATGTCTCGAAAACGTCGTTCTGATCTGCAAGCTTTTTAAACCTCGTGTGGCTGCAAAAGGGTGGAGTGGGCTTGGGTAAGGGGAGCCCCATCCTGAGACAATCGACGATGTAGCCGGTTTGCGCGCTGCTGTCATCTGTAGACTCTTCGTGCCAGAAGATGGCAGCGATGTGCAAAATTCTGCCTGAGCGAAAGGCTCGGGAAGGGGTTAATGTCACTTCACCACAAAAGCCGAAGCCTTCTTATAAGATGGCCAGCCATTCGCCTGTCCTTGCGATGGGCTCATTTGCCGTACCATGCGCGCGAAATTCCTTGAGTCTGTGCCAGTGCCATGGAAGCGCGGGAAAACTTCCTTTAGTTAATTAGAAAGTACGTCTAGAAACAGATATCGGAAAGCGTGCGGTTGAAACCTAGCACATCGAGGGCTACATTGGCCCATTTTGTAGAGAACTTGGACATGCAGGGGAACACGTTAAGCCACTAAGACTTTAAGATGGTAAGCCATTCAGGCTTTCAGATATAGTCCATCAGGGTTTTCAGGCATTCAGCCAGTAGTGTTCTTAAGGTTTTCAGCCGTTAAGATCTTAATGCGTTAAGCCACCAAGATTTAATCTTGCAGCCAGGGCCAGAAAAATTAGATTTTAAGCCAGTAAACGTATGAGCCATTAGGGCTCTAAGATTTGAAGCCCTTAAGGTTAAAAGATAAGATCCTAACACTGTACGCCTTTCAGGTTTTGCAGTGTTTGATCCATGTAGGTTGTCAGTGTTTGTTTTTCGAGATTTTCAGCCATTAATCGCTTGAGGTTTCCATTTTGACCCGTGCTGGGGGTGCAAAAGCGCCAAAAGGTTTGTGTTCCGGAGACCCCTTGTATGAAAGGACTTAATCTACGACAAGGGAAGGTCTTACGTACCGGGCGTCAACTAATCCCTGACAAGAAGATACCCGCTGTGGGTAGCAGCCTCTATGGTCCTGGACTTGTTTCTGGCAAGAACCTGATGTCTGATTGAGGGCCAACCCACAATTTGTATTGCAAGTCCCTGCGCACGCTGGAGCGAGCAAAGCGAGGTTCTATTTCTGTGGCCCGCGTGTACTCTAATTGTGAAAACAGGGGCCGAGCCTACACATGTACATATGTATATATATATATATATTTTTGTGTACGTGGCACAAGTGATTGCCTAAAGGTCAATGGTCATAACAAACACAAATTTGTTTTGACCTTAGGCCGCGAATTGTCATCTCAAGGCTAGCCATATTTAAGCACCGTTGGCGTGTTCTGCTGGCTCCTACGGCTTCAGTTGGAAACAGAAAGCAACCGCATGTGTTAAATTTCACGAGCTAGCGTGGCCACTTTGCCAAACCCTCAGAAGCGTTCTGAGCAAAGGGCAAGCTCTCGCCCGATGTGCGCGAGCTTGCAACGAGAAACGCTTGTCCCAACACATGCTTTGTGGGTTGTGTGCTTCTCCTGCGCGTTGGGCGTCCAATTGGCTGGCTGCGTGAAGTAGTGTTGCGGCCAGAGGCTGTGGCATGAACTGCGACCAAGCCTGCTTTGAGTTGGCGCGCCCCCTCTCAATTGGAATCGTGTCAGCGCACGCTTGTGCGCGCGCGCCACATGGTGCAGCTTTGGCAGTAAAGTCAAGACGCAGCGGCCGCCCGTTTGTTTTGACAGGCGCAAAACGTGAAAAGAAGCGAGCGTGTGAGCGCAGAGAGAACTTGCGCAGAGAATCTTGAACGGAGCACTTTCGCAGAGAAATTTGCCAAGAGAACTTGTTCAGAGAACTTGCTTAGAGAACGTGAGAGAAACTTTCTCTGAGCAAACTTTCGCAGAGAAGCTTGCTGAGCAAACTTGCGCAGACAACGTGCGTCGCTCACTATATGTTATGCTTTCGCCCCCCCCCCCGTTCTTCTAGTATATTTTGGTTGGGGGTTCGCTATCTTGTTGCGATCCCATATGCGTGTTTATATATATGCAAATATATATATATGTATATCGCAGGGGATCCCAGGCAACCCCCCACTTTAGTAGGTGGTTCTTCGCCAGGTTACTTTTTCTAAAAAGGTGGCTTCTTTGGTTGCCTAAACAAAGAATGTAATCACTGAGTTTAAAGTGAGGGGTCAGTCAAACCATTGCGCGCAAGAAACCTTTTTGTGACTCAATTATACTTGAACTGTGCGCACAAGCAACGCCCCACCTCAGTGTCATGTCATGCTTCAATTTAGACAGCGAGGATGGAGTGGTGCGTTCGCTGTTTAAAACTTCTTTCGGTGTCGTCTGCAATACCGCAATATGGTGAGTTGGTGGTGAACGCCGGCGAGAAGTTGGTGACGCTTGAGAAGTAAGCAGGTGAGAGTTTTGTGAAATGTGGGGCTGTTATCAAAGGAGCGCGAGTAACAGTTTGAAAGCGGTGAGAAGGTTGAGAGTCAGAAGATGGTGGGTTGGTGAAAAGTTTGCAAGTTGGGCAAAAGATTGTGAAAAGACGCTCGGTTTGTGAAATGTGAAACGTGTGCAAGTGGAGAAAAAACGGGAGTCTGTGAACGTCTGCCAAATTTGCGAACAGACGGCGAGTTAGTGAGCCTTGCGGTAAGTGGTGAGAAGATGGTGAAAAGACGGTGGGTTGCAACAAATTGAACGTTGGTGAAAAGATGGTGAGCTGGTGGAAATCTGGCAAGTTGACAAGACGTTTGTGAAAAATGGTGAGTTTGTGAATTTTGGCAAGTTTGCGAAGAGATGGTGAAACGATTGAGTTGGTGAACAATTTGCAAGTTGGAAATGCCGAAAAGTGGGCAAGTTGGTGGACAGATTGTGATTGTGAGCTGGTGACAAGATGGTGAAAAGCTGGACAACAGATCGCAAACTGCTGGAGATTTGACAAGCTTGCAAAATGTTGGCGAATTCGCGAAAATTTGGCCAGTTCGTGAAAAATAGATGGTAAACAGTTTGCGAGTTGGTGAAAAGATGGTAAGAAGATAGTGAAAAGATTGTGAACTGCCGAAATGTTGGGGCAAGCAGTTGGCGAATGTGTTTTTCGGGCGTTGGTGGGTGAAAAGATGGTGAACAGACGTTGAACTGCCGAAATTTTGGCAAGTCGGTGAAAAGTTTGCGGATTTGCTCGTCTGATTGCAAGTTGGCAAAAAGATTGTGAGTTGGTGAAAAGATGGGAAACAGATGGCGAACTGCTGAAAATTAGCAAGTTGGTCTAATTTGGTGAATGTGCGAAGTTGGTGAAAAGATGGTGGGTTGCTGGGAATTTGGCTAAGTGGTAAAAGTTTGCGAATTTGCAAAAATGACAAGTTGATGAAATGATGGTGAAAAGATAGTTAAAAGATGGTGGAAAGATGGTGACAAGGTGGAACACTTTGGGCACAGCTGGAACACTTCTTCGAAGGATTGGAACACTTGTGGGACACTTCCAGGCCTGTCACGTTGCCAACTCGCCATCTTTTCGCCATCTTTTCATCACCTTTGCACCATCTTTTCACCAACTCAACATGTGTTCACCATCTTTTCACCAACTCACCATCTTCTTACCCACTTGCAAGCAAAGGGCCAATTCGCCAACTTTCACCGACTTGCCAAATTTTCGGCAGTTCACCATCTTTTCAACTCACCATCTATTCGCCATCATTTTGCCGACTCGCCCTCTTTTACAAACTTGCAAACAAAAGCGCCGATTCGCCAACCTTTTACCGACTTGCCAAAAATTCGGCAGTTCCCCATCTTTTTTCCAACTCAACATCTGTACACCCTCTGCTCGCCAACTAGCCAAATGTTCTCAAGTTCGCCAACTTTTTGCAAACTTGCCAAATGTCCA